TCAGTCGGTGCAGGTTTTAAGGGATACAGGATGTAGCAGCGCCGCTATCAGGAAGCTCTTGTAAGGCCTGACCAGATGACAGACAAGAAACTCCCATGTATATTGATTGATGGGAGAGAGCGGATGTTCAGAACGGCCAGGATTGTTGTGGATACCCCCTTCTATGTTGCGGAACTGGAGGCAATGTGCATGAGCAATCCAGTCTACGACTTAGTGATCGGTAACATTGATGGAGCTAAGTTAACGGCTCACGCCAATTGGAAGCCACACATGGAAGAGAATCAAGTCTCTGCAGTTGTGACTAGAGCCGAGGCTAAAAAGGAGAAAGAAGCGATTAAGCCACTTTATGTTCAAGCCAGGAAAGTTGAGTTAGTCGGACTGGATGGACTTAAGGAAGCCCAGAAAGGGGATAAGTCGCTCGACAAGTGGCGTGGAATTGCAGAAGTCAAAGGAGATAATCAAGGCAAGAAGTATAGTATGGAGTTGAAAAACGACATCCTATACCGGATCTTCACACAGAAGAAAAGGCAATCAGATATAGAAGTCCGTCAGATCGCTGTACCCGAAATGTATAGGGAACAAGTGATGTCGCTCGCGCATGAGTCAATAGTTGGAGGTCATTTGGAAATACAGAAGACTATCGATAGAATATCAACAAGTTTCTATTGGCCTGGAATGACAAGTGACGTGACACACTTCTGCAGATCCTGTGATGTATGTCAAAAGACAATACCTAAGGGCAAAGTGACAAAGGTACCTTTAGGGGAGATGCCATTAATTGAGGAACCTTTCCAAAGGGTGGCTGTGGATCTTATCAGGCCTATTTACCCTGCGTCGGAAAATAAGAACCGCTACATACTAACGATGGTATACTATGCAACAAGATACCCCGAGGCCATAGCGTTACCCAAGATCGAAATGGAAAGAGTGGCAGAAGCGTTGCTGGAGATGTTCTGTAGAGTTGGATTTCCGAAGGAAATATTAAGCGACAGAGGGTCACAGTTCACCTCAAGACTCATGGAGGAGGTGTGGAGGTTAGTTTCGGTCAAGCAATTGTTCACAACTCCTTACAACCCAAAATGCAATGGCTGGTGTGAAAGGATGAATGGTGTTCTTAAGGGCATGTTAAAGAAAATGTGTCAAGAACGACCAAAGGACTGGGACCGATATATCCCGGCAGTTTTGTTCGCTTATCGGGAGGTCCCGCAAGCAAGTACTGGGTTCTCACCGTTTGAATTATTATACGGGAGGACCGTCCGCGGTCCCATGCAAGCACTGAAGGAAATCTGGACGGATGAGGCAGACGAAACGTCCGACGTGAGAAATACTTACCAGTATGTTCTTAATCTCAGGAATAAGTTGGAAGAAACTTGTAAAATAGCGAGAGAGAGTTTACAACAGGCACAAGGGACATACAAACACCACTATGACAGGAAAACGAGGAATCGACAATTCGAGGTGGGACAGAAAGTATTAGTGTTACTTCCAACGGACAACAACAAACTCCTGTTACAATGGAGAGGACCATTTGAGATAGTGGAGGTTGTCAATCGCATGGACTACAAGGTCAACGTTGGTGGTAAAGTTAAGGTGTACCATGTGAACTTGCTAAAATTGTATGTGGAGCGTCGGGAAGACTTGCTCGAGTTAGGAGACTTTGCCGGTAAAGAGACATTCCGTGATGTGAAAATCAGCAATGATTTAAGTGAAGAGCAAAGGTCTCAAGTTATCACGCTCCTGGAAGAATAGCGATATATTTACTGATGTCCCAGGAACAACGCATCTGGAGGAGCATCGGATAGAGACTACCACTAAAGATCCTATTAGGGTAAAGCCATACCCTATACCATACGCCAAAAGGAAGGAGGTACAAGCAGAAGTAAGGAAAATGATAGAAATGGGTATAGTCGAACCCTCAAGATCAGCATACAATGCTCCAATCGTCATGGTGAAAAAGAAAGACCAAACAAACCGGGTGTGCATTGACTTCCGTAAATTAAATGCCGTAACATTCTTTGACCCTGAACCCATGGGAGGCATTCAGGACATCATGACAAAGCTCGATATGGACAATTACTTTTCTAAATTCGATCTCAGCAAGGGCTACTGGCTGATACCAGTAGAGGAGAAGTCGCGTCATCTAACAGCCTTCTCGACATCGGAAGGATGTTACCAATTCAGGAACATTTGGGTTTGTTAACTCAGGAGCTACATTCAACAGGATGATAAGGAAAATGTTTGACGGAAGTAGCAATACAGACCATTATGTCGACGATATACTTGGTCACAATCAGACGTGGGATGGACATTTGGGGAACTTACGCGATCTGTTCACGCGAATACGCGTTGCCAATTTAACAGTTAGACCCACAAAGTGCGAGATTGGGTACAGGACACTGGGATTTGTTGGACATACTGTTGGTGACGGAACTGTTTCTATGGAGGATGCTAAACTACAAAGGATTAGGGACGCACAACAACCTAAGACAAAAAGACAAGTGCGAGCATTTCTAGGACTCGCAGGTTACTATCGAAAGTTTGTGCCGAACTTTGCGGATGTCGCGAAACCGCTCATAGATCTTACTAAGAAAGGGCGGCCAAATGAGGTTGACTGGGGACCAGGAGAAGCAGCAGCATTCACACGCCTTAAAGATATCCTTACTAAGGCTCCTATTCTGAAACTGCCGGACCCTTCGAAAAATTTCAAAGTACAGTCTGATGCTTCAGACACTGGTTTGGGTTGTGTTTTGTTGCAAGAGCACAGTGATGGTCTATTCCCAGTCGCCTATGCAAGTAAGAAATTGCTTGATAGGGAAAAGAACTATTCTGTTAACGAGCGCGAATGTCTAGCCATTGTGTTTGCTATCAAGAAGTTCCAAATGTACTTATATGGAAGAGAATTTGTTTTGTACACAGACCATAAGCCATTGTTGTATATCCAAAAGAGCGAGGTAGAAAGTAGTAGAATTATGCGATGGGCATTATTCTTGCAGAACTACAAGTTCCGCATCAAATCTATCAAAGGTTCAGAGAACGTAGCCGCAGATTATCTCAGCAGGCAGTACTAGATGGTTTACATAATTTATGAGTTAATCATGTCGTATTTATTTCAAAGTTTTATGTTGACATTTATTCTAGGATGTTCGAAAAGTATTTTCTGAAATAGGGGGTTGTCAGAATAATTGTGGTTTGTTGATGTATACAAGAGTGTCGTGCGCCCTTAAAGGACTGTAGGGCGAGTTGAATTTGAGACATACTATCAAGTATACCTAAATGAAAGATCCCAAAATTTATTGTCTATTAATTATTTCACATCAAAAGTAAATCTGGAAGAGAAAACTGCCAGTAATTAATTTTATTATTCTGAATTCAGAAATAAATCGACCGATTTATTTAATCATATATTCATATTAACAACTACACACTCAATGTTTACATATATGTATCATTGACCACGAACCCGTGCGTCACAATGCCACAAAGGGGAATCTAAACTTTGAACTATATTAAATACATAAACATTAGTAGTAGGCCTACTGTACCGAACATTATGCACTAGCTATATATAGGGTTGTCCCCGAACGGGGATAAGGGCATATATACCATTACTGTGCCAGACACACAGTCCATTTTGTTAAGTAATACTTACAGGTTGTTAACCAACACCCCACTGCAGCTGACAATGCAGCACGACTAAAATACGAGTTCACAAGCTACACCCGATCACGCGACACGTTTATAACGTTATATATTACCTAATTTGTAATCATGTTTACGTTTTCCTTTTACATATACTGTACTTCATGAAGATCATCCGAGTATTTCTGACCAGTAATCTGACATGGGAGAGAAGAAGAGAGTTCCATATAGTGCTACCAAATGTCTTTCACGCAAGATCTTATTCTGCATTGCTCTTACTGCAATGATCATCACCATGTAAGTACTTCAAAGTATCTCAGTATTGGATAAAACTGTTTTAACTAAAAATATCCAAACCTGAGCACAGTTTCTAAGCTTCTAAGCTGAAACCCGACCCATTTATAATTGGTGTTGAAATAACTGGAAACCTAGCAAATCATGTCTGGAATTAATTGAAATATTCCTACCCCGTTATCCTCCATCGCATATACCTATCTAGTCTGAGAGATTACAGAAGTCAATAGGGTCCAGTGATATATAAACTCTGGTTACAAGTTAGCAGTAAAATTGACTACTATGAGGTAAACAATTAGAATCTTTGTTGTTTAAGAACAGTAGTGGGTAATTATAGGGATATTGTTTATACCTAATATGAAAGTAATCATATAAGCAACCTAGTTTATATATTGAAGTAAGCCATTGTCTCTATGCTTGCTTATTAAGAGGGGTTCCTTTTTTGTAACTTTTAATTTTTCAAATTTTCAAACAATGCATAAATAGAAGATATTTGTATGTACTATCTACATAACATATGACTCCTTCATCATTCTGCAGACGTCTAGTTATATCTTATATTTTTAATAAATGTGTGACCACAGAAGTTTAAATCAACAACAAAACAAATTTAATGTATTTACAGAGTATAAAACTTTGTCGATTTCTAATCAGTAGGCAAAGCCTTGAATACACAGGAGGTACTATAGATGCAGGTCAATTACGACAGACATCAAGATTCTATAAGGATATCTGATATTATTTTGTATACAATCTAGATGCTCGGTTATTTTGTCTAGTACTTTCATTGCTGTTAACAGTGTTTCCACGTAAGAGAGTATCATTACTGGCTTATGGTGACGACGGTTAACTTGTCTCTGAAGTAGACACTTATCCTTTCTAAAACACGATCCATACGTCTTTGTGATTAGCTCACTCTAGCTATATTTACAAAGGGATACTATTTAATGGTGTTACTTGTCACTTTGTCTTTAATATCTAGGGTATCACAGCTATATGTTAATCATTCACATATCATCGCTAACATTGGACATTTAAGGAGACATTTCAACATCTCTGTTGGACAGATGGCGAAACGTATCGGCATGGGCGTTAGGTAAGTTCACATTTCTTACAGGTGAGAATCATCAAAATTATTTTCTTTTACATCGAGATATTGGTACAGCGTATCGCAGCACTCTCAAATGTGATGTGACCAGATAGTTTTTTTTGTATAGTTTGTACGGTAAATCAACAATAAAACAATAAAACAACACTAGGAAGAGATTTACAATGTTACTGAAGTTGATCATTCTTAAATTATATCAACCATACATTTCTCATTTCTCGCTAATAAATTTCCAAACTTTCGTACTGACATCCCAAGCCTATGAATTGTTTGTGACCTCAAATTAATGATTATTATTTGTTTTCAGGACGATTTTTCATTTTATTGTGATATAATACTCTACCACGAGCTTGCGATCTTCGTTATAAACGATAATGGGAATCATCCATTACCTGAAATGCGATTCTGAATGTCTTACGAGATGTGTATTTTTTCAAGGATGTTAAAATTCATTCCTTATCAATCTTATATTGATTATTCATTTGTATTAGTGACCATCCATTATTCATGTCAGCACCAATCATTCATCAGTTCTCCACCATTCTGTATCGACCATTCATCCATTCACACCACTATCATTCTGTATCGATCGTTCATCAGTTCAGGTTCTTTCTAATAAATTTAAACAATTGCGCTATAAAATAATTATAAAATGTAATAAAGCAGATCAAAAGTTAAGTGCTCTTCGCTCTCCACAACGCTGGTTTGTTAAATTCATGACTCTTGATTGATACAATGCTTCTATAGTTGATTGGATAGCTGAGCAGATCAATGATTTTCCAGTTATGTGGACAGGACGCCATAATGATAAGGGCTGCTCTCAATATCAGGATTTTCGTGCATGTTGTTGTCAACTGATAGACAAACTCACAACATACTGTTTTGAAAGATGCAGATCGATATTTTCTTGTTAACGCGATAGAGGGGAGGTAACTCGTTCTTATTTAGAATACATTAGATGCCAGCCCATGTTGTAGTGAATGTGCGATCAATAGGTACTATGTATTGTATGTATCAATTTGTTCATCCTTGTGAGAGGATTTATGTATTCATTAGCCTGCTGCCTATTACCCATTATAATTTTCAATAAAATGAAATACAGGTTGATGAAAAAAATAAATAATTTACAGTCGTCATAGTGATCTAGTTCTAGTTACTTTTGTGTCTTTTGTACAATCTTTAACAACGACTTCATACACGTTTAGCTGAAAATAACCATGTGTGTACGTGTTTCTGAATAGGTAAAGAAAAGCTATTAGACTTCGCTAGGGGATAACACGTTCCGCCAACATAATTAATATATTCATGAGGACAATGTTCCGAGAGATGCGGAATATTGAAAACGTGACGAAAGATTTCATCTCTTCTTCTAAAAAATGATGCTATGAAATTTCTTCAAAACAATATAACACAATCGCACATTTTGTAAAGTTCATGCTGCATTATTCGACCATAAAATACTGGAATATTTTAGAAATATTTTTATTTTTGACAGACATGCGTCCTTTTTCAGATGGTCACAGTTGAGTAAACATATGCAGGGAAAATTCGCTAATGTTACAAAGGACCAGGTTGTGCATTCTTCAAATGTCATCAAGACGGCATTCATATTACCTACAGCGACTATTTCGAGAAATATCTTAGAACGTTATCCTGAATATCGACAGATACACGAAGTAAAAGATTTCAAGGAATTGTTTGATCCTCGGTTTTCGATGGTAGAACTAGACATGAAAAAAGACCAATTAAGAGCTGGTTCACAGGTCAAGGTCAAAGTCCATCTTTATAACGGTTACAATCAGTCCATGACACGAGGAGGTGACCTGCTCAACATCTGGCTTCGGGACGTGAAAGGGGATTCATATGTTGCTGGTTACGTAGACGATCACATGAATGGTACTTACACTGGTCACGTGATGGCTTTTTGGGCAGGAAATGTCACTATAAAAGTAACAGTCACCAGCACAAAGGAGGGAATCGGATTGTATACTAATTATGTACATAAATACGGTTCTTATAAATTTATCAGCGGAACATTTTCAAAAAACGACAAATCTGAAAAGACTCTCTGTGCACCAACGAATACTAGATGGTTAGACAGAAAGTACAGGGGATTGTGTAACCTAACAAAGGAAAACTACAATATTTCTTTATTCTGTGGGAAGCCAGACGACATTCCGTGTAGGAACTGGGTAACGTATGGCTGGAACGAATCACTGTTTTACGATGGGTATACAAAGAAAATTCTAAGGTAAGTTAGTAAACAAAAATTGATGAATACTCTATAGAAAGTTATTAACTTTGTTTTATTCTGATTCATTTGATTATTCTTGCGTTTATTGGAATATGGTAACTTACTTGTACAATAGGGAGATTATGTTTACATCTTGAAAGATTTTAGTCGGGATTCAGGAACATCAACATAATCTTTTCCATTGGACTGTTGGGAGTAGAATGCTACAGATATACAAGCATTTTGTTTACCTTTTTATATTGAATGGTGTAAAAATTATTCGACTATGAGCACCTTTAAAGATCGTATGTAAACTATATATCAGTGAGTTTGACTGGTCTTGTCAAGCTGTCCAGGGTATATACAGTAATACAGCCAGTTTGACTGGTCTTGTCAAGCTGTCCGGGGTATATACAGTAATATAGATCTCTCTTCTAACTCTAATTGCATCCATACATCTAGTAAATGCTTTATTACCAAGTATTTTACTAAGTATCAATCTAACGTCGGTTGTATTTATCTCCAGTCACAAGGACCTGCTTTTGAAACAGATTCAAGTCAACATTGCTCCAAGTAAGTACTTCTCGTTTAACATTGTCACAATATTACTAATCATATTTGTCTGCTAAGTGCACGTGTACCAGAACTTTCTTTTGTACATAAAACATACTGTCGAGGAGGGTTTACGGCACAAGTTGTCGCCATGCTTTGAATCGTAAGACAATACTCTAAAAGTTAAAGAATAGAATCGTTTCTACAATCCACACTGAACCATTATATCTGATGTACTGGAGCTGCAGTTATTTTGCTTTCCTGATCACCTTTCTAAACTGAAGGAGCACATCTTATGTCTGTGGTATTGAGTTTTCATTTTAAAGTAAACCGGAGAATATTTCATTAAAGTACATTGATGCCAAGAAGAACATTTCTGATATAGCTAATGGTAACAAGTTGCAAGCTAATAATACATCACTGTATGCAGTAACCAATGATAACCTACATTAATCTGCTAATTAATCTGGGCTATGAGATATTAATCCAAATAAAAATAAAGGATCAGTTATTTTGTTCATGAAACATAATTATCATCATCGAGATATATAGAACAGATAACGCATACTTACAGGAATATTGGCTTAACAATCATATTAATATTTATAAAAGAAAGATTAACGGAACAAGATACAAATGTGTATAGTATTTGTACAAGATGATGACATTAATATGCTAATTATGTATGAGACAACGGCAGTTTAAATTCGAAAACAATCCATAGGAATAATAACTGGACTGCGTAGAGGAACTTGTAATGAATTCTTTTGGATCACAGAATAAAATAACACCTTAGTTGTGATGTGTATACTTATAAATGATCCTACTCCGAACTATTTGAAAGATAGTACAAAAGACACACAAGTGAATTGCACCTTTTAATGTCAATTTAGAGTTGGGCGTAGTTGTTTCGTACTTCGGTAATGCTAAGGGCCTAAATTTTGAAGCCTAGGAGATTTTTGTTTTAATCCTTACATCTGAACACAGTGAGTACAGGAATATTGAAGCATCTGTGACATGTAGACTGGGGAAGCAGTGGAGTTACCACATAGACATGGAAAACTAGTTATGGCTTATCATACAGCTGAGAAAGCTGCTCTTGTAAATTCGAGGTAGCGGTTGATATTAAAAAGTCAGTTGCAGCCTATCATTATTGTTATCAAAAAGGAAATTGACGTTTTTTTGTCAGAACTTCGGTAAATTCTGCCCGTATAAAAAAGTCAGGTAAAATGAAGTACTCGTAGTTCTCAAGCGTAATCCACTTTTCTGTTGGATTATCTTTCCATCAAAAAGAACGAATATTTGGTCAATCATTCTCATAATTTCATCCTGGTCACATTTTCCTTCCTTTGGACATGAAAAAGACCCCCGTTTAATTATCAAGCATAAAACTTTTATTGCCGTTCAGCTTTCTTCGAAAAGACAAGAATCATAACCAAATAATGAAGACGTTGTTTCTTTAGTGTCGAATGTGATAAGGTAGTATACTGAGTGATAATATTTAATTCTCAGAAGAAAGGGAAGGAAATTCATAATTTGACGACATTTCTTCGGTGTTGGGTACTGCGCTGAACCGAGATGTGTATCCACCCATTTTTTCAACCATCGACCCGATGACACCTTATTGCATCTTCCCAACAATCCATCAATAGGTTTCAGGTCACCAAATATTGCCAGTTATTCTTTTCTAGACAAAACTATCTTCAGCTGGCCAATATCATCCCTTATCTTTAATAAATAGAATTATTCTCTTATCCCGGCCGATTTAAGTTATGTTATCGTTTAATGGTCTTGTATAGCAGCAAACTGATCAATGGATTCTTATCGTCCTCAATGCGAAAATATCAATTAGAAGTATATATAAATAAAAGGATTCTCGCTTCGGCATAATCTAAATATTGCGTCTGTTACTCGTTGGCAGATTGATGTTTATCGTCCCAATTTCACTTAAAGGCATTGCAGATTTTTTCTTCCGACAGCAAAAGTAAGCTTGTTCAAACCACTGGCTACAGGCTAATGAGGACAAGATATCTCGTATTTATGGATATAATCCATTTCCTTTTAAGGACATTACAACATTATGTTTCGGTTGTTTAACACATGTGCCTATCGAGAGAAATAAATATATAATAAACAATATACTTACACTGCAAAATGTGGAATAATATTTTTCCAGAAATAAATAGCAGCTATTATAGAAACATTTACAGTATTTCTACTTAAAGGTAGGTAACATGGCCTCATCAAACAGCTTCTCATTTCTGTTTACGTATGGTTTGTCACATGTTACGAGTTCAAATGCTAATTAGGTCACACTTCGTTGATCTCTTCTTGTTGAGTTATATAATAACACTAAAGCCACTTTTCTTACTTCAGGTTCTAACGGCCATCTAGACTACCCATTGCCTAAAACGCCATGTAACGTTTTGCCTCGTGAATTAACATGGAACAGCACTGTACCATCTGGATTCACCTACAGAGGAATTTATTATAACCTTATATGCCAACTTACAATGAACCAAACCAAGCCGCAATATCGAGCATGTCTTAAAGACCGACAAGTTATTTCGATTGGTGATTCAACAACTAGACAATGGTACTATCGCCTTCTTTCCATATTAGGATTTGAAATCAAAGCTGAAAATACTTTTAATAAGTTTGTTCAAATACATAACAAAACACTGGGACTTGACCTTGAATGGCAACCACACGAACTTCCCTTCCATGGGGTACCGGGTTCAGACAGGAAGGTAATTAAATCGGTAGCTTTCAGATTAGATAAGATACCAGCTAACAGCAAAGCCATTGTAATTATCCACTGGTATGCTCATATTGTCAGGTGTTGTGACCACATAGCATTACGGCAACACGTGCGCAATGCAAAGGAAGCCATTGTGAGGTTACTGGCGAGATCCCCAGATGTTAAAATTTTTATTAAAGGTCCTCACCTTGTTACATATTTCAATGCCCGAAAGCCTTATAAATTCGTTGGTATGTTCGTGGAACAGGTTTTGCTGGAAGAATTCAGTGATTTACTAGACAAACTTACTTACTTAGATCAGTGGGACATGTCGGTGGCTGCAGAAAACGTGAATATTCATCCAGAAAATACGATGGTAAATATATCACTGAACAACCTCATGAATTTTGCATGTAACATACCTTAGAGCTGTACTTGATGTTGGACATGTACACCAATGTATAACCCATCTGTCCATATTGCCAAAATGTACGAAGGATTTACAGAATTGGGCAACAGGCAAAACCTATTAAAGTTCTTACTTTGATATTACTAGTGTAAACAAAATACATATCAAGCAAACACTAAATGGATTAAATGTAATGTATTTGAAAAATAAAGAAATGTTTGAAGTAAGCGGGTGCGTTATTGAAGATTCGAATAACAAATATGTTACCAGCAGGTGATTGGATATTTGAATAGTCTGTGCATATCTGCAGTTTATCAGGGATTAAGGATTTTTAATACCTATTTAAACCGTATTTTCCAAATATCATTATCGTGATTTTTCATCTCATGGATAAAATACCAGCAACGGTTTTAGCAGTCAGTGGATTGGAGAATTGAATAAAGAATCCACTGCCAAGTTGCACGTCAGAGGGAATTTGAATTTCCCTTTGTATGCCTGACTCTCCCAGACAGTAACAAAAGAGTATGTTCATGAAGTTCTTCGTCAACCTCATCTCAAATAACGAGATCTGCCGAAAAAGTAAACTACACTTTGACTCTATATATCATTACCAATTTATATCCAATGACATGAACACCAATGGCTGACCTTAGCTTTAACCAATCTATCCCTCACCACTCTCAGCCTGCTACACCCCGGGGTCTCTTAACAGCTATTTTCCTACACCGTGTCAGACCGCAGATAGTGTCTGTTTCCTAACTATAATCTTAGAGAATTGTAGTGTTTATAGAGCAGATTTCCTCTGCCTATATAGTACTTTGAGGAAAGAACTTTTGGACAAAAAACACCTCTCACCATGCTTCAGTAAACACTATACTGGCCACTGTCAACTACTGTACTTGTAACTTGGCTTTACACCAGGATACCTGTATATATTGTGAAAGGCGTTTCCTGCAGTGAACCATGTTTGAACTGTTCTCTCTGAAAAAATGGTTTCTACCAGGAGTGCTAGCACTTGTGGTTGTAAAGGGCAATCCAACACTCAAAGAAGACATGAGCCAACAGATGAAAAGAACTGGTAGAGAGACTTGAGGGCCGTGTTTTTTACTTAGAAGTACAGAATGAGGAATTGAAACAGACAGTCAGCAAACTTGAGCAGGAAGTAGCAGATTGTGAGGGGAAAAGTTTGAGTTACAAAGCAAGCAAGTAAAATAATTTAGAGCAACACAGCAGAAACAAACTCTGTTCGGATTGTAGGCCTTGAGGATACTGACAAAAATGTGACAATTGAAGACTGTGTTGGAAAAATTGTAAGGTTTGTTCAGGACAAGCTGAAAGTTATGATCTCAGAGGCAGATATAGATATAGCCCATTCGCTTGTGTCTTCCAGCGGGGGAAAACACGAAACATAATTTGTAAGTTTACTCATAGAAGGAAGAAAATAGAAGCCATACAGCAGTGGAAGGTGTTAAAGGGATCAGGATATTTCATCATGGAGGACTTGAATCGTCTTAACCAACAGAGGTTAAAGGCAGCTTTTGAACTCGAGTGTGTTGAACGATCTTGGAGTACTGATGGAAAATTGTATGCGTTACTAAGGAATGGGGAAATAACGGAGAGCGTTTTACAACATTCCTTTGACAGATGCTTTCCTGATGAATGATGTCAATTTTCAGCGTAAGTAATCATATCTGTGAAATCATTGACATTTATGTGCACAAAACAAGCTGATGTTATATACAATGGACACAGTAATAGAGTTGTACATTTGGATGGATCAGATATTGATTGATAATTGATAATTATGATAATTATGGGTACAAAATAATAATGATTTACAAATTCACAAAACATTTGTATTTCTGATTTATAAAGGAGATCGGAGCAAAAATGTATGTTATTTTGCAAAAAAAAAAAAAAAAAAAGAAATATAAAATAGTAGTGAATCAGAATGATATATGCTGTCTGAATACACACACACACACACACACACACACACACACACACACACACACACACACACACACACACACACACACACACACACACACACACACACACACACATATATATATATATATATATAAAAGAGTACTAACTATATATATATATATATATAGATATATATATATAAAGAAAAATGTTTAAAAAACACACAAGAAAAGTTAAGTTAGCATTTTGCATAACGTTTTCACAGCTTAGCTGCTCCTCAGTGTAAAGGGAATGCACAATTTACAATTTTCTTTATATTATCACTTGCTTACCGTCATTAACTTTATTATATCTATAAATATATATAAGAAGCACTGAGTCGGAATGAAACATATGTGTCTGATAAGAATTCAATTTATAGAGTTATTATAAAAAAATAGGTATATATACATCCATATATGAGTACTGAGGCACTGTGTCAGAACGATACATAAATGTATATATGTAATATATATAAGTATTGAGCTATCTTGATATATGTTTACCTTATATATATAGACATGTATAACGTGAGTACAGATTCATAATTATATTATATAGTGTCCGGAACGTTATATAAAAGGTATAAGCTTCGAGTCAAAAGGATACTTGATAGAAGATAATATGTATAAATATGTAAAGACCAAGACAGAATTTCAGAATATATATTATCTTTAAAAACACGTATATATGTATATATCTATATATCATACAAAAATACAAATTCAAAATGATTTATGTTTGAAAACTATATATGATATACCACATATAAGGTATTGAGCTGAACATATATTGTCCGGAAAAATTATATATATATATATATAAGTATAGTGAATCAGTATGATATAGTTTGTCTGAATAGATAATAATTTAACACATAAAAGTACTTAATTTACAATGTATTGACATGTAGATTTCATAGGTAACCGAAACTTTTTCCAGACCTGTAATGATACTGTTTTTCTTTAGGTTTGATTTTGTTTTTGAGAATAGTTGTTTTGCTATGATAAAATACTACAGATATTGGTTTGTCAGAGAAATTATATTGATTCACATAACTTCCGGTTTATTTGTTTACTTCCGGTGTGCGGTATATGAGAGGGTGGTAGCGGTTCATGTGAAAGTGAACAGAATGGGAAACGTAAGTAAAGATATAGGAAGTAAAGTATAGGAGAATGAAATAGGTGCTAAATGTATGTAGTTGATAGTAGGCCAGCCTGGCTTGGCCAAATCTACAGATATACAGCTGGAACTGGGTGGGGCGGAACGGGGAGTCTTCATTGTTGGTTAAAAAAAAGGTTCACTTTAAACTTCAAAAGTCAAGAATATCATGAACCAGTGTTGTGGTGGTATATATTTTGTTGGTTGATAAGTAATTTAATCAGAAATAACAATGGATGATAATTTAAAAATTAGCTGCTGCAACTGTTGGGGTTTGTCGTCCGATAAAACAATACGCGGAGATTTTTTTTATTAATAGTAGGAAAAAATATGATATATCTGTACTAATTGATACACATTCTACTGGAGAGATTGAGCAATATTGGGCAAGTGAATGGGGTTATACAAGTAATAGCAGGGCCGTTCTTTTAAATAATACATTTCAATTTGAAATTTTAAAGGAGATTAAGGATGTTAATGGTAATTTTCTATTACTTGAAATGAAATTCTTTCATAGGAAAATAACTTTGTTAGCTCTTTATGGCCCAAATGAGGATACTCCTGCTTTTTTGACAATATAAAACAAAAGCTTGACACTTTAGATAATAATCCAATTATAGCCTGTGGAGATTGGAATGTGTGTCTAAGTTATGAACTTGATAATCTTAAATATAAACAAAATATAATAATGCTAGAAGTCAAGCTAAAATCCACGAAATAATGTCTTCATTAGATATATTAGATATATGGAGTGAAGAGAACCCTGGAATTAGAAGATATACGTGGAGGGGTCCTCATCAAAAACAGGCAAGGTTGGATTATTTTCTAGTTTCTTCTGTATTTAGTCCCTTTTATTACCAATACGGATATAGGAATAAGCTATAGATCTGACAACTCTCCAGTTTCAGTTACTTTTAAATTTCTCAATCAAAAACGAAGAAGTGGCACTTGGAAATTCAACAACTCGTTATTGCATGATACTATATTTGTTACAAAAGTTAAGGAATGTATATCTGACACAGTTAACCAGTATAGAAATAATGATAACACCACTAAGATTGAATATTCAATAGATAACCACTTGCTGTGGGAAACCATCAAGTTAATGATAAGGGGAATGACCATGAAATACTGTTCATTTCAGAAAAAATCAGAGTAGATAAGGAACATAAATTAGAATTGGAATTAAAAGACCTCTATTTGGAAGAAGGGGTAAGTAGAAAAGAAGCCGAAATAACACGGACAGAGGCAGAACTTAAAAAAATTAGAGAGGAAAAAGTTAAAGGAATTATAGTTACGGCTAAAACCAGTAGGAAAGTAGAAGGAGAGAAGAGTTCTAAATACTTCTGCAATTTGGAAAAACAGCATTTCACAGAAAGGCTCATTTCGAAAATAATTACGGAGGAAAATCAAGAAATTTTTGAAATCGAGGAAATTATGAATAATCAAGTTACATATTACAAAGAGTTATACAGAAGCAGAGAGACTCAGATAGGAGAAGTTCATATGCAAAGTTTTTTTTCAATGAGAGAAATCCATATAACTATAAATTGAGTGTAGAGGAATCAGAAAAAAATGGAAAGTATGGTTAATAGGTTAAAATTTGTAAATGCTCTTAAAAACATGAAAAATTCAAAATCTCCCGGACTGGATGGAATTACAGTTGAGTTATATATATATATATATATATATATATATATTTTATTTTTTTTGAATGATATTCATGAACATCTTATCAATTCTTTTAATGAATCTTTTCAAAAGGGACTATCTATCTCACAGCGTCAGGGAATTATTACCTGTATCCTAAAAAAGGTAAAACAAAATTATTTTTTAAAAACTGGCGACCTATATCACTTTTAAATGTAGATTACAAAATAGTTTCG